CCCCGACCCCACGAAACCCTGCATTTTAGGTAAAATTTTACGGGGCCTTACATGAACCGTGCTGAAATCCAAAACATGAGACGAATCACCAAAATACTTCCAGAGCATGGAAACATGAAATATTGGATGAACACTCGATAGACTAAGTGGCAATGCAAGCTTGTAAGCCACCTCTCCAATCCTCTCAAGCACCTCAAAAGGGCCAATATATCGAGGACCCAACTTTACCAGAATAACTGCTAGAAAAACCTGGCATAGATGAACCCTGAACAGATCGAGCACAAGACCGACTCTGAGCTGGGAGGGCACTGAGAGATGATTGACCCGGACAAGCACTGTATGAACGATGGCTAGCTGATGCACCACGATGAACCGGACGAGCCTATAAGGACGATCCTTGCTGAGGCAGAAGAAACACCGCTGAAACCACCCAAACCACGAGTCCTCTTGGCCTCCCTTTCCTCACGCTCCTGACTACGGACCTGCTCTAGCCGCCTAGCAATATCAACCACCTCGTCGAACCTAGCACCTGATGCAATCTCCCGAGTTATGATAAAGCGCAGTCCATAGTTGAGGCAATCAATGAACCTCCTAATCCTCTCCCTCTCTATGGAGATCAACCAAATCGCGTGACGAGCAAACTGCCTATGCAACTCCTCCCTGCAGGTCTGTGGAACAAACTTCTCCAAGAAGAGAATAGAGAACTCCTGCTACGTAAGTGGTGCAGCACCGGCTGGCCTGCTCAACTCATAACCATCTGAAGGCTGCCCCCGACAGTTGAAAAGTAGAACATGAGACTCCACTAGTCTCCAGAATACCCGTCGTGTGAAGAATCCGCTACCACCTATCCAAGAAGTCTTAAGCATCCTTTGACTCATCCCCACTGAATGATGGAGGCCTGAGCTCCTCGTCACTCATCGGTGGACCCACCTAGGCCTGAGCAACTACAACTGGCTGGGCTGGTAGTACCCCTGGTGTGTGAAGTCCCTGAATCACCTGCTCTGGTGTACGGGTGGCGGGAGTCTGAGAACCTCCCCCAGCCTGAACCGAAACTGCCTAAGCAAGGCTAGTGCATGCAGTCAATATCAGGGCCAAAGCCTCCTGAGCCCTGGAATCACAATGGGCATAGCTAGTGCTTGAGCTGGTCCCACCTGCTCAACCACATCTGGTGTCTGCTCCTGAGCTGGAGCAACTGGTGGATCTATAAGTGCTGCTCTAGCTGTTGTACGAGCTGCACCTCGGCCTCTACCGCGGCCCCATCCTCTCGTGGCCCTAGCTTGTGGTACTGGTGACCGTTCTCCCGATCCGGTAGCACATCTCCTCACTATTTGTGAGAGAATAGAATAATAGAACTTTAGTTTCCGGAATCAACAAATCAGGACGACAAGAATACAAGAAAGAGAAGTTTTCATAATGGTTTGGTAGCCTCTCGAAGATAAGTATAGACATCTCCGTACCGATCCGAAAAACTCTACTAAACATGCTCATAATTCGTGAGACCTATGTAACCTAGGCTCTGATACCAAATTGTCACGACCTAAAACTCAACATGTCATGATGGTGCCTATCACAGAACTAGGCAAGCCGACAATCACAAATAACTACGCATTATGAATTTAAAACATGATAAAATAAGTTTAACAGTGACAAATTCTCATAAATAACCGATAAAAATATATCGCAACTTAATAAATCCGGGTATCACTGAATACATGAGCTACTAAAATGTCATCACAAACAAACTGCTAATACAACTGTCTAGAAAGATAGAGCAGTGCTAAATAACTGAAAAGAAGGAGAGTCGAGGTCTGCAGATGCCAAAGCAGTTACCTTAAAAGTCTCCAAGCAGGTGAAGCTCCAAATCTAGCAATCGTCGTATCCGGATACACCTGGATCTGCACACGAAGTGCAGAGTATAGTATGAGTACAACCGACCCAATGTACTGAATGTTGCACCGTATTTTTCACAAGACAAAATAAACTACAACTTATAGTACTCTACAAGGTTAATTAAAATTTAGAATCGCCACCTATTGTTTAAGGTACACAAGGATACCTATATTACACTATATATTGTACACTTCGACTATGGTCTACGAAACCGTTGAGATTCTGAGTAGGGGTTCACGTTATCTCGAGAAAAATGTGTTAGGCATCCCTCAAGATCCACAAAATGTGATTCCTGCGAACTCGACCAAATCAGGGAGGGAAGGTTCAAAGATAATTAGCAAATGTTCATAACAATTACAAAGAATAAAAGAATGATTAACGTGTACTAGAATGAACAATAACGATATTAAACATGTAATGAATTATGTGTGGATGAAGTTTGCAAGTATTTTTGGTGTTTTTGAAATGAAATGATTAAAATATATTGACACATATGAAGGCCCCGTTTGGCCATATATTTTGCCAAAATAAACTTGGGTTTTATTTGGTAAACACATGTTTGGTCATAGATTTTACCTACATTTTGCCAAATTCAAAATCCCAAAACCAGCTCAATAGCTGGTTTTGGGCCAAAATATCACTATTATATTTTTTTTAAAATTACGTCAAATTTTTGTATTTTATAAAGGAGCCCACCATTTATTATTTTGTAACGGTATTATTTCATCTTCTCGGTCATCTGATAGTGTATCATGTAGTTCATTATAAAAATGATAATTTTGTATCAAATTTATTTATGTTCAGGACTATAGTTTGCGATAATATAATGAATGTTATTGATAATAGTATTGTTGGGTATTTGTGATAGTTTTTAGAACTTGTGGGTATAAGTCATGTTTCATGTTTTTCCAAACCAAACTTCACCCAAAACAGATGTCCAAACACATTTCTATCTTCAAACCAAACTTCACCCAAATCAGATTTTTCAGAATAAATTTGGGAATCTATAACCAAATGCTACCGAAATATATATATAAAGTGGACAAAGGAATCGTATTCCAAAAGATAAGTTGAGTATGAAGTGAGTTCTAGATAAGAATAGCAAAGTATTTGATAAAAATATTTGTACAACAAAATGTAGTATGTGAAGAAATAAAAAGGATATTAATGAATGGTATTTTAGTGTAAATTGAGTGATATGAAAAGAATTGCATTTAAAGAATGCATGTTAACTCAAAATGTTAGAACAAAATTTTAAACTTGCAAGAATAAACTAGAGATGACTCATAATTAGAGTTTAAAAGTTTAGATTGATGACTACAACAAGGAAAACATACACTAAAGGATTGAGAAAAGGGGGAAAGAATATTTATTTGCACATGAATAGATATTTAACAAGTAATTTGATCAAAGAGTGTTGAAGAAATTATCTTAATATATAATTAGCAAAGTGAAGGAATTATTTTGATGAGTAAAGAATGATATGTATTCATAGTAAGGCATAATGCTCGAAATAAAATATGTAATTAAATATGCACAAGAAAGTAGACAAAATATGTAAGAGAGATAGAAAGCTTTGAAGAAGGTATACGTTTTAATAAATGAAGTACAAAAGTTATGTTTTGACAAATAAAAATCCTTGGATGGGGGCTTAAATTAAAGAACAGACCCATGAGAGTCAACACGAGATTAACAACTTTGGGATAGAATATGTGAAAGAATGTTTGTCTTAGAATGGTCTTGAAAAGAATGGTGGCTGAAGCTTTTAACAAATGCATGGCTAACAAAGAATTGGTCAAGGAATATAGACAAGCACAATGATTGCACTCACATGAATCTAATGGATGTACAATTTGTAGAATATTCCGGACTTTTGAGAAAATCAAAAAAGATAATCAATTATGCACAATTATATGTAAACTAATCATACTAAATATTATTCATAGAAAAAGAATTAATTATCATAGATTTGTACCGAGTATGTATTTACTTAGAGTGAAGCAAGTAATTTATAAATTGAGTGACCTAAATGTATAACCAAACATGATAGCTCACACATAAAAGAAATATACAATTATCTTGTTAGAAAGGAATGTCATGCTTATGTAGTGAACAACTAGTTTAATTAATTAGGTTCATATCGATCCTAGTCAATTAATCAAGTTGCGAAAACGTATCTAATAATCTAATTAAAGATGTAAGCTACATATTTATTTGACATACTTGTTGAGTGTTAATTATTTATCTAGATGTATTTTGTCCTAAGCGTCGTTACACAAAACAAAATATCAAGCAAGCATAAATAAATAATTAGACATGATATCTATCTACGATTATAGTATACTTGCATTTTTTGGATACATCCTAGAATAGGAAGTGCGAAGCGTGGATTTGATGAGGGGTTCATCTTCAATCTTTCTCCAAATGCCATCTTTCGAAAGCGACTTCGTATGATAGTACCTCGCAAGACAAGAGAAGTGAAATTATTAGTAAAGTATAAAGTAAACAATAAATTAATTTATTTTTGAAATGATTTTATTTGAAAATGTTTTTGAAAGATTGTTTTTTAAAAAAATATTTTTGGAAAATGATTTATGGAAATAGTTTGAAAACGTTTGGGAAATCGTTTTTGTAACAAAGCTTTGGAAATGTTTTTGAAAAATTATTTTTGAAAAATAGTTTAGAACAATATAGGAGGCTCAGATATGTGTAATATCCGTCTAGACATGAGAATGAGAACTGTCTCGGTAGCGACTCCGGTGGCCAACAGTGTCGCCCTCCACAAGTTGTTAGTACGCGTTCTCATCTTTCTCTTTTCCGGTGTTTATCATCATCGCCTCGTTATTTCAGGCCCATTCCAGAGGGTCATTCAAGGCATCGTGGCCTCAAAAAATTANATATATATATATATATAAGTTGGGAATTGGCTAGCTGATGTGGCATCCTTGTATAGTCAGCTTTCATATTTATCTTTTTTCTTATTTTTTTGAATTTTTTCTGTTATTTCACTCCTTCACTCCATTTATTTCAAATAATTTATTAGCCCACTACTCAAAATAATAAATACTACTAAACACCCCAAAACACTTAGCCCAATAGTCGTTTTGTTAACCCTTTCACAATAAAAGTCCAGATAGACGTTTTGTTTCCTCTTACCCCACGTTCTGAGCAACTCTTCCCTCAAAGGTCAGAGCTTCATCCAACGTAAAATTCCCAGCTTTTCTTCAGTTCATGCCATGGTATAGCCGTTTGGTTTTCCCAACTATCTTCTCCTAATAATTCTCCATTCATCTCATAATTTCTAATTACAATGATATTTAATGTGTATTAATTTCTGATTATTAAATTGATGATTAATCTTGTGCCTATTGATACTCTATTTTGATGGACTATATATAAATAGTGATGAATGTTGTTCATACTGTAACTTGCTTGCTTTCTCTTGCTTTTCATTATTTTCTTAGAATGACATACTCTTTTCTTTTAGAGTTGGGTCTTCAGAGGGATGATTGGTTGATAAGGGTTAGAATTTGTAGAATGTGGGATTCTTTTAATTTCAAGAAAAATGGAGAGTTAATTGGCTTGGATATGATATTTATTGATGAAAAGGTACCTATATGATTCTTAATCTTTTGTATGTAGAATTTTTTTGTAGTTTTTAACTTCAAAATACTTACCTCTTTTCTTTTATAAGGAAAATTTAATGCATGCTACGATCAACAAGAAACTATATAACAAGTTTAAGGATAAGTTGACTGAAGGTTCTTTGTCTGTTATCAAGAATTTCAAAGTTGTTGAAAGTAGTGGTGGATATAGGCCAGTTGAAAGTGATTTTAAAATTAATTTCTTACTTAAAACTGCTGTCAAGAGTCTAGAGGAAGATATTGTTAGTATTCCTATAAATGGATTTCAGTTTATCACACCAGATATGATTGAATCAAGGGTGAACAATAACACTGTGCTATCAGGTATATTTATTATAATTGTTTGCTATTATTTTTTAAAAAAATATCTATGTAATTGTGAAATAACTACTTTATGCTCTTCATTTGTAGATGTGGTGGGTTGTTTGTGCGGAGTTGGAGACATGGAGACTGCTGGCTCGAGGTGGAAAAAAAGGGACATTTAAATTGTTACTGATTAGTGAGTCGCTTTTAATTTTATGTTCCTTTAATTTGTAAATCCTCTAGAACTTTCATTTCCTATTATGTTTCAACTCCTCTTCCTCAATCCGTCTTTCTGTTGTAGTTCTGTCAAAGCAAAAATTACTTTATGGGAAGAATTTGGTGAGAAATTCGATCCTTATTTGTACAAGAAGGATTTTGGCCCGTACATCGTGATAGTAACCGCTACAACAGTTAAAGAATTTTGTGGTAATTATTTTAGATTTAATGATTAAAGCTATATATTCTGTTACTTTGAATGGTTAGCTTCGCCACCAGCTACTCAAGCAAAATATATGTAAATCTTCTTTGAACCAAAAGTTTACAACCGTGTCTGCTGGAGTACAAACCATTGAACGCTCTAATGTTAATAGTATTCCGATGGAGGAAGAGATGTTTTTCAACAGGACGAACATCAAGGAGTTGTTGGATTGTGACTGGAGTCCTGAATTAGAGGTTCTTTCCCTATTTTGCTTCTTGAGTTTTCTGTTTCTCAAAATTGCAAGATGCTTCTAATAAATTATTTTTTAAATGGTAGGAATACATTGTTACCATGAGGGGAGAGATTACAAAAATAGACAACCATTTTGGTTGGTACTATATTTCATGCAATGCGTGCTCAAAGAAGATCGAACCTGCAAATGGTGTGTATAATTGCCATATTTGCAACAGAGAATGCAAGTTTCCTTTGGTGAAGTAAGGAACCAATCTGTAATGTGAATTTGATTCATGTTGTTATTTAAACTAACTTATTATGTAAAATAAGGTATAAGATACACCTAAAAGTCAAAGACAAAACTGGGGAGAGCAGTGTTGTCCTATTTAATGTTGTTGCAGAGAAACAACTTGATACCTCAGCTCACAAGTTATTAAGCAGGCTGTCATCAGATGACAATGATGTACCTACCCAAATCCAAAGCTTTTGCAAAAAAGAATTTATTTTCAAGATAAAATTGAACAATTATAATTTGCAAGAGGGGCTTGAAAATTTTACCGTATCAAAGGTTTTCGTTCCAGTTGAGAATTTGGAAATACAATTCCAATCGAGGAAAGATAAGAAGGTACTGTATATATAAAAAATTTTAATCCATAATTATATTGGACTTATATATATATATATATATATATCTGCAAATAAGCTTTATTTCTGTTGTTTTTGCAGGGAAAAAGCTTATTGGATGATGAAAATGAACCAAAGGAGCAGAAGACAAAAAGATTAATAATAAAAAAGGTAAGCTAATTTACAATTTATTAGGTATGTGAATAAATTATCTTTTTAAGATTTAAAATTGGACATGTTTAATAGATATGTGAACTTTTCTTTTTCAAAACCAAACAGGCAGCTGATGTCTCATTCGATAACTTGGAAGATTCTGATGAAGATCAACATGTCAATGATGGTGTAATGAGTAGAAAGAGAAGAAACATAATCATAGACAACGATGAATTTAGTGATGAAGACACCAATTAATGCAAATAGTAGAGTCTTTAGTATTGCTTCTAGCATATTGTCCCATTTTAAATAATAATGTTTGGTCCTCTTTTAGTTTTTTGTTTGGTTGTTTGTAAGACTGCGAAGAACCCTGTCAAAGTTGTTGGTCATACACACCACTTTAGAATATGAAAAGTGTTGGCTTCTTCACTCAAAAAACTTGAGCTCGGTTTGTCAACTGTCCTGAAGTTTGTTTTGATTTGATTTCTACCTCTTTGTTATGGCAAAGAACCAGAGTAGTTTCTTGCTGATATATTATTAGTTACATCAATTTAGTAGATTGATAACTTATATTTTCAATGTAATGACTGTTAAATTGGAAACTCATGGTTTTGGAGTGAATGTTGCGCTTCTCCTTCAATTTAGGTGTATTGAATTCATCAAGAAAGCATAATTAATGTACACGATGGATAAAGTCTCTTCATGAAACAATCCTTTGACAATTTATTTACTTCCTCTGTTTTCTGTCCCAAAGAAAAAAACCAGTTTAAGAGTTAAACAATCAGTAAAACTTAGTATACTGTAACTCTGTCCCCAAAGCTAATAGTCACTTAATTGAAATGCACATTTCAAACTGCGTCCATTAACCAAGTCAAAAGAGACACAACAAAACAAGGTAGATATTTATATGATTCTGAAATGAGGATTGAATTCTTCAGTAAAATTGTTGAGAACCAATTCATAGGCCGGCGACAAGCTTCTCCCCTGCTCAACCAATAAAGAATGTCAATACTCTATCATACAAGACAACAAAAACAAGCGTACATAACAAGCGGAATGGCCATAGGCTGGAAGGAAAAGTTAGAATTAGCAGTAGAGTAATACCAATTGTAAATGCAGCGTCGACGTCGATATCAGAAAATGAAAAAGAATCAAGCTTTAAAAAAATTCTGTTTTCTGATGTAGTGGTGAAGCGGCCTAAGAATGTACTTTTTGGTAGGCAGTGGAATTTAGTGGATATGGGCTCAGATGCTTGTGGCTATGCATTTGCTCTGTCTATTTGCACCCTTTAACTTCAATTGGGCTGCTGCTGGAATTGCTTTAGCTTATACATAATTACTGGACTTTTGGGTATTACTCTTTCTTTTCATAGAAACTTGTCTCATAGAAGTTTCAAACTTCCCAAATGGTTAGAATACTTTTAAACGTATACATAAATGCATAAGAACGCAAAAGAAAATAATAATCCTTATAAATTTGAACTAGAACATATAACCTGAAGCTTCCATGGATGAGATGTATACAAGAATCACACAAATGCGGATAGAATATTTGAAGTATGAACAAGTACAACTTAGAAACAAATTATATAAAGGAGTATTACCAGATAAATCATGCAAAGAATGACATCTGTATATTCGAATATTATGTTATTGCACTTACAAAATTTAACTTTACATTATTACAAATAAATGTTATTTACCTTCCATTTATTCGACGTTGAAATTGACGGACTTCGTTTTTCATTTATACAATATTCAATATCCAACGTGAGAATTTGACTATAAAATTATAGCATATTTTAACGATCGCACGAAGCGCGGTCAAGTTCCCTAGTTTATGAATAAATTGCATTGAAGTTAAAAATGTGCAAAATACTATATTTTATCATTTTTTGACAAGGAAGCCTGTAGACTTTAATTTTTAACTACGGAGGGTCAAAATTAACTATCAACAACTGCCCCTCTTTGACCGGAGATGATGTAAGAGTCATTGGGCAAAGAAATTGACAACATACTCAATTTTGACCCGACATGACAGAGTGAAGGGATGAGGAAGTTTTGAAGATTGTGACCGAAGTCTGGTATTTTAGTTACCTACATATCTCGGGTTACACGAGAATCAGGTCGCGTGTAGTTGTAGAATGCAACTAAGTGCTACTTGTGGATTGTAGCCTCATGGGATGGAACACAAATGTTCGAGGACGAAGCGGTTCATGTGATCTCGACATTTCTTCCAAAAATGCCCCAATGTCGGGCTGTGGTAACACTGGGATGTGGTCTTGGATGGACAGATAGATTGATTGAATGGATTTTGATGTGGATGCGGCTGGGCTCAGCGTTGAGTTTTCCTGCATAAGTCGGATGTAACGAGAATCAAGCCAGTTGTAGTTCGAGAAGCAATGGATGATTTGATTTTGATTTTTGATTTGAAAATTGCCCCATCGTCAAGTTGTGATGAAAATGGGTGTTATTTTGAATATGGGGGTTCCAATTGCCTACACACCCCATGTCAATGGGACATAAGAACGATACTTGGGGACATGTCGCCGATTGCTGTTGGAAAGGCCGATGTCCGTCCTCAAAATCTTTCCCAGTTTATTTGCTAGGAGATAATCCCACATTGAGTCACATCTCTGATTAGTAGAGTTGACAACGTGTGGATTATGCTTTCGTTGATTTAACACAGATGGATTGTAGTGATTTGAATGATGACTGTATGCGATACTAGAATGATACGATTTTTATTTTTGAATCAATTAGAGTCTCAAGTTGGAACTCTAATTCGAAAGGGATTCGAGTGATCAGAGCACTTTGATTTTTTGAAAGCAATCTAGGCTGTATACCGGTCCTATGCGATATCGGAGCATCTGAATGAAAAAGGAAATTCGGGTTGTATACCGGTCCGATGTGATATCGGAGCATCTGAATGAAAAATCGGCTGGTAGTTACGGTTATGAAGCGATATCGGAGCATTTAAATTTAAGATACTCGCATTGGAAGGTAGGCGCATGTAAAATTGAATTTGAAATAAAATGTCCATTATTCAGGAGAGCGCTTGGAGAATTTTGGATTTGAAATGAAATGCTCACTATTCAGGAGGGCGCATGGAAAAGCAAGAAGCTATATTTTTTTTTTGCAAGAAATTAATGCAAAGGGTTCTGTTATTAATGGTTCAAGTAGACAATAGATGCAAAAAGATAGAATTTGAAATGATATGGCTGAGTCTGACTAAGATTGCCTACGTATCCCAATAGAATCAGACAAAAATATAGTTCGATTGCAAAAGATGAGTGAATCCGATGTAGATTACCTACGTATTCCTACCAAAGGAAATTAAGTCGCGACGTTGTTCCGAACATATAGAAATGATTTTTGATTTTCTATTACAAGAGTGGGACCGTACCCTATGTGGGTTGCCTATGTACCCCCCTCCCTCCCTCCTCCCCCTACCCTCCCCGTGGGAAGTCATGCCGGGCGTAGTTCTGTCACAACAAAATCTAGCTTAATTGTCAGCAAAACATGACTCTCTTTTGTTTTCTATATTTTTGTTGTTTTGTAGCTTTTTGTAGAGAATATTAAAAATTATAGAAGTAAAGAGAGACTGAGATTTATTGATCAATCATCTTTTGACTTGACTTTGGCTAGTACCAACAATTAGTTTTGTGCATAAGAACTTTCACCATATACTTTCTATCAAACCGAGATCAACTTATGGGTAATTTCTATAGCTTCGAGTGATACCTTAGATATACCTAAGTTCGGCAAGATTTGTTCGTCTTGCTTCAATCAGAGGTTTTGAATTCTGCCTATCGTCATGTTTCACGTGCCCTCACCACAAAGAAAGTCATAATTTTCACACATTTTGAAGTATTTTTATTTTTTTTAGGACATTTTGAGAAGTACACTCACGCTCAGAAAGATGTTCAACGCATGCAGTTGAGATACCATATGCTTGACCTTTATATGAGTATCCACTAGTATGAGAACACTTGGAATATGATCATGCAAGGCTTTGTTATTGGCTTGTAATGTAGGCTTGGGGACACGTAGGATATATATTTTGATAAAGTGACTAATCCTCCTTAAGCGTTGCACTGTATCCGTGCCTTCGGTGTTCAAATCATGCTTCAGAGCTTGATCTTGTTTGGCTCGATGTCCCTTTCTTCGCTCTGACTTCTTTTGAACTTGTTGGAGGTTCTTCTTCCATTTTTGGAGGTTTTTTATTTCTTTTCTTTTGAGGTTTCTTCTAATTTGCAGGAGTTTTCCCTTCTTTTTTGAAGCTTCTCCTCTTTGAGTGGAGTTTTCTTTGAAATTTGCAAAAGTTCCTCCTTTTGTTGAGATCCTTCTTTTGAATTTGTGAAGTCCTCGTTTTTTCTTCTTTCTGAATTTGTGAGATCCTTCTTTTGAATTTGTGGAGTCCTCGTTTTGAAATGTGCAATTGAAGCCTCTCAAAATGAGAGAGACGAAAGGGGGAATAATGGGGATGGGCGGCTGATAGTTAAGGATGAGGGTGTGTGTGAAACTGAGAGGAGATAGGTTATTTTATTAGGGTTAGGGAGGTGTAGATATTTTGATATGTTTTTACCCATAGGATAAAACTCATGTTTAGTCCCATAAAAAGTCATGTCGCGTCAGATGATTTGTCACATCAAGTGGCTTGTCATGTCAAAGGTCTTGTCACGTCAATGTCATGTCGCATCAATATCTAGTCATATCAAATGTCTTGTCACATAGGATATTGACGGGATATTGAATTTGGCCGGACATGATCCGTATTTTAAAGTAAATTCTACTGGCTTTCATATAATTAATACACTATGCTATATACGAAAATATTTATTTAATCATCAAATCTTGTAGTATTTATTTAAAATTGTTACTACTATGATGATGTAGTAATTATTATTTATTTTTGAAGGATAATAAATTGATAGCATATCCTAATATTTAGAAAATAGAAAAATAATCAATAAATTGTTCTGATTTTTTGTAGAAAAGAAAATGCACAAAAATGGGATTATATAACTAATTGATGTAAAATGATAAAAATTCACATATTTGTAAAAATATGAGTAACTATCAATAAATTGCATTGAAGTTAAAAATGTGCAAAATACTACTATCTCCGTTTTAGTTTATGTGAATCTATTTTCTTTTTGATCCGTTCCAAAAAGAATGACCCCTTTCTAAATTTGGAAACAATTTTGCTTAAACTTACAATTCTACCCTTAATGAGAAGCTTTTATAACTACACAAATACTCTGGGCCCCTTTTTGAATTGATTAAGACCACAAATTTTAAAAGTCTTCATTTTTTCTTAAATTTCGTGCCCAGTCA